GTGCAGGCTCCTCCAAACACTTGATTTTGATGTCCCCACAATCTTGGCAATGGCACGAGTGCTGGTGGATGGCTGTTCCTCTATGCAATGCAGTTTGACATTGAGGCGCCAAGTTTAAGCAAAATGAATTTAAATGCTGCCCTAGTGCTGCTATTTTACATTTGCGAACATGGGTTACTATTTCAAAGTTGCTCTATAGGGAACCCTCAGTTCGCTCTTGAAGTATGGAACCGAACATCTGGGACAACCTGCATAGCTGTCAGGAAGCTGTAACTCTTACATTAAATAAATGTATGACATTTATCAATCAATTAATATTCAAAGCTATTTACAATTGCTAGTAGCGCTTAGAGAAGAAACTGCAGCGTGCTTGAAACGTTTAATGCCTTGATAGAGCACTTCACACAGTAACGAGTGGGACTTGCCTGATATCACGAACTCGGTACGCAGTCCAAGCGAAGAGAGAGAAAAAATTCTGCCCTGTTATATAAGACACCCCCTGGAATGGGGTTTCTAGGAAATGTTAGTTGTAGTCTGATATGTGTATATATATATGACTGACAGCAAATCAAGAACTGTGTTATTGCCAAGATATTTGAAAACAGCATGGTCATATAACGTCAATATTTCTGGCTTCTTATTGGAATTTTCATATTCGAAGCGCAGAAAAAGCACTCACAATCGTAAATGCTCTGTCGCAGAGGAAACTGAGATCCAGACTAATAAGCTGCACAGACACTCATAGCTACCAGTCGTGTCTATCAAACACAGCAGAGCTTGAAGGATGATATTAAACACATGTATAGGCATAGAAGGCATAGGAAATGCATAATGGTAGCGGTAATGTGACCAAAATACATACAATTTATTCCTGCTGACAGAGGTTCGAAAATATGTAAACAGAGCTTTGCTACTGAGAGGTACGAGATAAATACAAAGTTGTCCCTGTGCTTCGACCGCCTCTGTGGTCCAGTGATCAGAGTTCCTAGCTACAGATCCAGAAGTCCGGGTTCGATGCCCGGCGCTACCAGATTTTCTGAAAAGCAGTGGGTCTGGAACGGGGTCCACTCAACCTCATGAGAATAATTTAGGATCTATTTCAAGGAAATAGCGGCTCCGGTCTAGAAAACCGAGATTAATGGCGATGGGGATTCGTTGCGCTGACCACGCGACACCCTCTATCCGCTAAAGTTGGCACTAACTTTGCCGACAAGCGGCGGTCGCTCGGTCGGTATAGTTCGCTTAAGGACTAAAACCACAGACTTTTTTGTTTTGTCCCTGTGCATCATTAAGCATCATCACATGAAGATGGGGCAGCAGCGATATAGCTCCACGGTTTCCAGACCTTGGCACTAGATGACAGCAAGTGTAACCTTGACGCCTCAGCCGTTTTATCTCCGGTGAATAGCTTCTGGTAGCCATTGGATGAGAGGACAGGTTAGCCTTAGCTTCTGATGGTTTCCTACTTAGCTTATTCCTCGGCAGTAAATACGGAAGCGGTATGTTCCACCGAAACGCCTGGCTCTCTCCGAACTACATGGCGTTACAACACGGATGACTGTCCTCTAAGGATAACGTGACATGACCGAACAGTTAATGAGAGGCGTGATCCGTTGCTAGGAAATAACAGCATAGTAAACACGCAAGAATAAAAGAATATCCTGGGGTTGTTTGAATCTTCCACAACTCCATGCTGGTACATGTCCCCGAGCATTTTGCTCACTTCTGCTTATTTTCTAGGATAAGCTTCCTTGGGGGTTGTCGAATCTGTAGGGGTCCTCAAACGTCGATATGGTGGTACACACTATGGCCCGTCTGCAGCTAGTGCTTTCATCGCAAAAGAGCATTTGTATTCTGTGATCAATTCCTCTAATTCACGCATTTCTTCGTCGTTTAAGTTTGGCCTGACAAGAGCAATCATGCCCTGTAACTTTGTGGCTGTTCCTTGATCCAGGGGTGCCTCAGTATCGAGGAGGGTCACCAGCGTGATGGGATTGCAGTTTGCCAGTGTCTGGTCTCGACGGGTACAACCCGCTCTTCCCGGATTACGGTCCTGGCTATGTACAGTCCTTCGGCTCCAAGGGGGGTGTCTAGTTCAGCCATCACCATTGCCTCACACCGTGCCGATATCACATGGTCGGTCGCTACAAGAGGACGGGACAACCAGGGCTCGATGGTGATACTTCTTCCTCTTCGGGTCGCAGCAAGTGGCGACCGATGTCCATGAATGCATTATAGATATGCAGGATATCAGGTCACAGGATGAGCCAATCCGTGATATTCTCGAAGAACTTCTAGATGTGTACGGGGCCCCACTACGGCTTCCTTCAGTGTGGGGAAGGCCTCCCTGGATGCCCCAGTTTAATGTATTTCAGTGCAGAAATTTGCTGGAAATATTGTCTTTACTCAAAAGCTGCATTTTTATATATATTTTCTAATGGAGCAAAAGTAGCTTTTATAATTATAAATAATGTGAAAACTTCTCAGTCAGAAAAACCATCTTCTCCCTCTTGTGCCACTAGCATCATCTGTTTGTCTTCTGATGTGATGAGCTCAATAATGGCTCTGCAACAAAAATGAAGTCACATGAAAAACTTCATGAAGCACATACAATTGGAGTTAATTCTTGGCCTGGATACTGGCTATCCTGATGATGTTTCTTTTTTGGTCTTCCCCAGTCCCTCCCTCAATTCAGGTGATGGCTATTTCCTTCCACACTCTTTCCAATCTATTAACCATCCTATCATTTGGTGCTCCATATAATATGAGCTACTGAAAGCATCGCAAATAAACTAGCACTGAAACATATACAGGGTAACCATAAAAGCAACAGTCTGCTTGCTTAATAGAGCCATCACATATTTACGGTGCCATTACCTAGCAATGGATATTACTTCCCTGATTAAATTATTCCAGCTTTCAGCGAACAGGTCACATTAACAATTCATTTAAGTTTCATATTAGGGCAAATACTTGATTCAAAATTTCACCGAGATCTAGACAATGAAAGTTACAAAGAGACATATAAACACCGACAGACATAATATCTTCCTGTGTGTATATTTTATATATTTTCATAAACAAACTGTTCATTCATGATACCTTTCATTACAATCAATTTACTTAATATAGTGTAGCATCCTCAGCTTCATGTGCAATACATAACCAGCTCTCCTATCCTCACTTAAAATGTTAATGAAGCCAAACATTCTTGTATCAGATCTTGACACTTCAAGGTAATTGCAATAATTCACAACTGGGAAATATAACATGAGAATACATAAAAAAATAAATTTATTCACCACCAAAGATTCAGCACGAACTAGCAAATGTTTGGAAACATTTCAAGAATCAATATGAGGATAGGAATTTTGCCTATGGGACCAATTTTTTGACAACAGATACAATCTGTGGTCTAGGGGTCAGAGTTCCTGTCTACAGATCCAGAGGTCCGAGTTCGATTCCCAGCGCTACCGGATTTTCTGATAAGTGGTGGGTTTGGAACAGGGTCCACTCAGGCTTGTGAGGATAACTGAGCAGCTATTTAAAGGAAATAGCGGCTCCAGTCTAGAAAACCGAAATTAACAGCTGTGGGGATTCATTGCGCTGACCACGCGACACCCTCTATCTGCTAAAGTTGGCACTAACTTTGCCGACAAGTGCTGGTCGCTCAGTCGGTATAGTTCGCTTGTGGACTAGAACCTCGCAGTTTGTTTGTTTTGTTTTGACACAATTTATAACACTAGGCAATTCTTCAGAATACATGAAAGTGTTACTTGCCCTATTTGATAAAAGATCCATTTTCAACGATAATTTTTCATAAATGATTACATTTAAAGAAATTAAATTATACATCCCCCCCACAAGCAAAGACAGGTAGAGATACAGATTTTGTTGACAATTTGATTTTCACTAGGACCGTCAACCTTCAGGATTCTGACAGATCAGCAGCCTACATGTTACTTTGCAAAGAAAAAGCAGGTATCTGAAAAATAGCAAAGTTTGGGCCTGAAAAAACATGTCTGAATTGAGATAGAGATATTCTCTTTGGATTTGCTCTTGAAAATTCAGGATTCACACATGCTACCAATAAATTAACGCTGCAGAGCAAAGTCCTTAACAAGCTAACAGCTGATCTACTTAGGAAATTCCTTCCAGAACTCAAAAAGGGTTATGAAAAATTATATCATATGCATAAAATGTATGAGAGAACATCACGTTAGTTATGGGAGATACAAAAAGCGTTGGTATTGTTGTCCCTATGCACAGGCACCACAACATGAAATAATACAGCAGGTACTGACATAAAGCTCTGTGAATGCCACTGAGTATGAGATGAAGGTGAATAGTCAGCTTCTTGTCCTGGCCATGTTTACTATCACAAAATCAGGTGACCACAGTTCTTAACAAATCAAATACTGTGAGTATGGGATATAAGGAAAAATGAAATTATCAAATGCACAAAATAGGTCTACATACTGTATACTCTTGATCATGTGTGGATTACCTGGTTCACAGCTTATCCATACCCCTTTTCCTTAGCGTGTTCAAATCCCTTCTAAATTTTCCTAAGACTGTCCATCAATCTGTATGCATGACACAACTCACAAGCCAAAAAATGGATTTTCATGAAATTTGTAACTAGAAAATTTTACAAAGAACTGTGAAGCCACTCCAATTTTCATGTTTATACAATTTTAAAAACCACTTTACATGAACATCTACATTTGTTTCTGTGCATATATTGCCAAATATTTAACAGAGTGGAAAAAGGGTTGCACAAGATTGTGAAGAAAAACAAAACACATATTTTATGTCCACTATATCTCTCCTACAGGTCTCCTACAAATCATATGTTATCAACTTTCTATGTCCAACAACCACCTTGGTCTCCCGAACACACTCAAAACATGGATTATTTGTGCTTTTGGATTATTCATGAGCCCTTTCCCCCTCATTAGCAAAGCTAATTGGGGGTTTAATGTATTTCAGTGCAGAAATTTGCTTGAAATACTGTCTTTATTCAAAAGCTGCATTTTTATACATATTCTAATGGAGCAAAAGTAGCTTTTATAATTATAAATAATGTGAAAACTTCTCAGTCAGAAAAACCATCTTCTCCCTCTTGTGCCACTAGCATCATCTGTTTGTCTTCTGATGTGATGAGTTCAATAATGGCTCTGCAACAAAAAATGAAGTCACATGAAAAACTTCATGAAGCACATACAATTGGAGTTAATTCTTGGTCTGGATACTGGCTATCCTGATGATGTTTCATTTTTGGTCTTCCCCAGTCCCTCCCTCAATTCAGGTGATGGCTGTTTCCTTCCACACTCTTTCCCATCCATTAACCATCCTATCATTTGGTGCTCCATATAATATGAGCTACTGAAAGCATCGCAAATAAACTAGCACTGAAACATATACAGGGTAACCATAAAAGCAACAGTCTGCTTGCTTAATAGAGCCATCACATATTTACGGTGCCATTACCTAGCAATGGATATTACTTCCCTGATTAAATTATTCCAGCTTTCAGCGAACAGGTCACATTAACAATTCATTTAAGTTTCATATTAGGGCAAATACTTGATTCAAAATTTCACCGAGATCTAGACAATGAAAGTTACAAAGAGACATATATAAACACTGACAGACATAATATCTTCCTGTGTGTCAATTTTATATATTCTCATAAACAAACTGTTCATTCATGATACCTTTGATTACAATTAATTTACTTAATATACAGGGTGGGCCAGACTAAATTAGGCAGTTTTTGATCATTAATAACTAACCAATTCAACAACACATGGGATAATGGGAAAGTACCTTTTGTTGTGAATAGATAGCAGCATCATACGGTATGCTGTCAACGAGGTAAATACTCTGCCTACTTAGTGCGCATTGAGGAAACGTCATGGCCGGCAGACAGGTGTCTATCTAGCAGCGTGTAAAATGTGTGCACCTTTTCTCAGTTACTAACAATGTATCAGAATTCCAGCGTAGGATGTTGGAAGAGTTTGGACCGCCAGCAGTCCACAGGGACACAATCGTCCGAATAAACAAGCAGTTTGATGAAACTGCCAGTGCTTTGAATCCCAAGCATCCTGGTCACCCGAGAACTGTCCGAACTGCTGACACACAAGCACGTGTTGCTGCGGAACTGGCATCATCTCCTCAGAAATCGAAGTCTACCCGCCGTTTGTCGGCCCTACTGGACATTTCGAGGACAAGTTTGTGGAGAGTTTTGAGTGACATGAAGCTGATGCCATACCATCCACGGCTTATTCATGTTCTTAATGAGGACGACTTCGACAGGCGACTTGAGTTCGCCAAGGTGATGCTGACCAAGTTTCAGGAGAACCCTGACCTTATCCGGAATATTGTCTGGACTGATGAGGCCAAATTTCACACATCAGGATCAGTCAACAGACACAACTGCGCGTTGTGGCGGCCAGAGAACCCCAGTGCCACCATTGAATACGATTTCCAGTACCCGGGAGTGATGGTGTGGGGCGGCGTGATGTACGAAGGACTGATTGGCCCATTCTTCCTTGAAGGTTGCATCACGGGGGAAACCTACCTAAAGTTGCTGGGGGAAGTGTCATTCCAGAACTTCAGAGGAGAGAGAACTTTGATGAACTGTGGTGGCAGCAAGATGAGGCCCCACCACACTTCGCCAATATTGTTCGGGTGATCTTGCATCAAGTTTTTCCTCAACGCTGGATTGGCTGTCGAGGGTCTGTGGAGTGGCCAGCCCAATCAACCGACATCACCCCACCAGACTTTTTCCTTTGGGGTTACCTCAAAGACAAGGTAATCCCACTGACAGTGTGAAACATCTGCATGAGGTGATTGTTCAGGAATTCAATACAGTTGCGGTGAATATGTGTAAAAAGGCGTGTGAAAATGTTGCTTTGCAACTGCAAGCCTGTTTTGACTTAGGTGGTGTCCAGGTTGACCAGCATTTTGAAAATCGATGACTTATGTGTGTGCAATTCCATTTTTGTAACCATTGCAATTGTTAACATTTATCAATAAAAATAACATCTAATCAAAAGTTGCCTAATTGAGTCTGGCCCACCCTGTAGTGTAGCATCCTCAGCTTCATGTGCAATACCTAACCAGCTCTCCTATCCTCACTTAAAATGTTAATGAAGCCAAACATTCTTGTATCAGATCTTGACACTTCAAGGTAATTGCAATAATTCACAACTGGGAAATATAACATGAGAATACATAAAAAAATAAATTTATTCGCCACCAAAGATTCAGCATGAACTAGCAAATGTTTGGAAACATTTCAAGAATCAATATGAGGATAGGAATTTTGCCTATGAGACCAATTTTTTGACAGCAGACACAATCTGTGGTCTAGTGGTCAGAGTTCCTGTCTACAGATCCAGAGGTCCGAGTTCGATTCCCAGCGCTACCAGATTTTCTGATAAGTGGTGGGTTTGGAACAGGGTCCACTCAGGCTTGTGAGGATAACTGAGCAGCTATTTAAAGGAAATAGCGGCTCCAGTCTAGAAAACCGAAATTAACAGCTGTGGGGATTCATTGCGCTGACCACGCGACACCCTCTATCTGCTAAAGTTGGCACTAACTTTGCCGACAAGTGCTGGTCGCTCAGTCGGTATAGTTCGCTTGTGGACTAGAACCTCGCAGTTTGTTTGTTTTGTTTTGACACAATTTATAACACTAGGCAATTCTTCAGAATACATGAAAGTGTTACTTGCCCTATTTGATAAAAGATCCATTTTCAATGATAATTTTTCATAAATGATTACATTTAAAGAAATTAAATTATACATCCCCCCCACAAGCAAAGACAGGTAGAGATACAGATTTTGTTGACAATTTGATTTTCACTAGGACCGTCAACCTTCAGGATTCTGACAGATCAGCAGCCTACATGCTACTTTGCAAAGAAAAAGCAGGTATCTGAAAATAGCAAAGTTTGGGCCTGAAAAAACATGTCTGAATTGAGATAGAGATATTCTCTTTGGATTTGTTCTTGAAAATTCAAGATTCACACATGCTACCAATAAACTAACGCTGCAGAGCAAAGTCCTTAACAAGCAAATAGCTACTCATCTACTTAGGAAATTCCTTCCGGAACTCAAAAAGGGTTATGAAAAATTATATCATATGCATAAAATGTATGAGAGAACATCACGTTAGTTATGGGGGATACAAAAAGCGTTGGTATTGTCGTCCCTATGCACAAACACCACAACATGAAATAATACAGCAGGTACTGACATAAAGCTCTGTGAATGCCACCGAGTATGAGATGAAGGTGAATAGCTAGCTTCTTGTCCTGGCCACTTTACTATCACAAAAACAGGTGATCACAAAGCTGGTCTGGACATGGTGGCAAAAAGAAAGGTATCTGTCCCTGCAGTGGAACAAACCTTGGTTATCCAGCGCATCCCATGCACTTTACTTACTAAATTATCCCAGCACACATCAAATTATGGAGTTTAAGATTTACCTGAGGACTGCACCTTCAGTGCTGTAACGGTTCCAGTTAATGGTCCCTGGGTGAGAGATCTTGTATTCCAGAAGCTGATCCAATTGTGTTCTCAATTCCTGAAACAGATAACGCATGAAATTCACTTTCTGACAGCCTGAGTTCCTTACATCATTTGATTTGTGAATTATTCTGACCTTGACTAGATTTGCGGTGCTTTCCTGGCATTTAAAGCGTATTGACTTGTCAACAGCAATTGTTTCAAGACCATCTTCAATACAAACATCAACACCTTGTCCAAAGAATAGGAGGGGAAGAGGGTAGACCATCGTTGTATCATGTAGATAGATGGAAGTAGACTTTAATTTCAAGTGGTATACGAGGAATGGGCTTTCAAATTCCAACTGTTTCTCATTAATGGAACGAGGGTGAATGTAAACTCTTCCATCTTCAGGTGTTGTCAATTTGACATTAACTTGGGCCATCTTCCTCCTCCTCACAACAGACCTGTAAGTGAAAAGCATTTCCACACTCAACTTTAGTCAGAAAGCTGAGCTAGGCTCAGAACATACGAGAAGGGAAATGCAGAACGAGCTGAGAAATTGAACGCCACCTGCATCCATAGTATAAGTATGCAATCTATGCTTACATGTCACAATCATTGTAAAACACAAAACACTGCCTTATGTGGTTCCACGCAATTGAAAGCAGCCTGAAATAACTTGCTCAGTCCAATGTTATTTCCAAAATTCATCTTCACTGAATAAAGAAAAATTAGCATCATGCATATAGCCATGTGTTCATCATTCACTATCTGTATTCCCTAGCAGCACTGCGAACAGATTTTATTTGAACAACCCCATACAAGCTATTTTGAATGATGTGAGTTGGGTACCACATCTAGAAATCACAGAAAGTGTTTGCTAGCAATTCAAAGGAATATCGGTAACAACTACAATCACTTTTCCTAGGGCAGACTACATGAAGTGGCATAGGATGCAGGGGGATTAAGAAGCTTGGAAGGCAAAGAGATTCAAAAAGACAAATACCAAGTGGCCATCGTTGAGAAAACTGGGAGTTATAAAGCAGAAGCTGAAAGCGCTACCAAAAATCTATGGACAAATATCATTTTGGAGAACATGGCTCAAAGAGACATCTCACAGAAGGAAGACAAAAATTTTAGTTTCTAAAATTTTATAACACACTGTATATATGTGTTTAGTTACTATAAAATCTGTACAAAAGCCATTTGTGGGTTATGTGTGAAGTGTTACTCACCTTACAATGGCAACATTAGGATATAGGCCAGCACAGATAATGGCCTTCACAAGACTTGAATTACTAGAGTTGATGTTTGCATCTTCAGCTTTCGGATCCCTGCTGCTAAGGAAATTCATTTCATGAAGGTGTTCCGCAAACTGACCCTTCATGTCTCTGTAAAATTAAAAACAGAAGAACCAAATAACCTTATTGCTGCTTTAGTGTTCAGTATCTGGGCTCTACTATTCTGTTTCCTAGCTATGTCACCAACTTAAGAAAGAACAGATGATCTTTTGTGAGATCTGTGATTCTCATGGCAACAAATGTTAAAATTACTGTCCTCCAGGATGTGACGCCATACCTATTTACTGGGCTCCACAGCACCATGTTCCAAAAGATAATAATCCTGATGAAGCCTTATTTCCTTTCAGATGTTCTAAAGAAACCAAATTAAAATAAATCTGAAAATTACACGTGCAAAATTTCCACATTATAGGCCTCCAGGATCTGAAAGTAGTTTGGTACAAGGCCTATGGTTTGTAGTGGAATATGGAATTTTACACTGAGCACCAATGTCTGTGTGATTAGCATGCATGTAGGTGGGAAATACCTCCAAAAATATGAAGAGCACATACATACAAATTGATCCAGTGTGGTTCTGTGTGAAGCCTACAAGAAAAATATTAATATTCTACAAATACCTAAGCAATGAAAGTGTATTGGATGAAAGGAAGTAATCCCAGCAGAACTCACGGCCCCTTCTCATTTCTTCAGCTACTTCCCACTGCTTAAGTGCCTCAGCCAGGACCAAATGATCACTTTTCAGTCCCTTGGAGAGGCATAACTTCTTCTGATTCACTTCTTCTTCTCGACCCTGCAGAAATATATCACACCTAGTGCAATGTCCAAAGACAATTCAATGGGAAATTTGACAGTTCTCATATCTACCTGCAGATTTCCACAGATAACCCTTCCACTGATTCATTATTATACATCAAAACCCCTGAGGGGAGACTATGAAATCATGGCTTCAGTGAATATGTACACTATGACGTTCTATGGGAAAGTTCCTGGACTAGGTCAAAAAAGAAATGCTAGCTTAACTTACTCAATTTTGGCAGCCATCTCCTTGGGAATGTATACAGCAATCACATCTTTTTTTCCATGCCTCAAAAGTACCGGGGAAATCATTTTCCTTAATACTGTCGAGTATCGCTTGTGATTCCTTTTGGATGTCAGAGACAGTTTCAAAATGTCATCCCTTCAGTTTCATTTTCAATTTGGAAACAAAGTGAATTCACAGGGGACTGAGTCTGGTGAGTAGGGAGGATGGTGAATGATAAACATGTTGTTGTTAGTCACAAATTCTGTGGTTTTCAGGGACGCTTGGAAGGGCGCGTTGTTGTGATGAAGGAGCCAGATTTGGTTGCACCAAAGTTCTGGTCTTTTTTGTCACACATTTTCTCTCAAGCGAATCAAAATGTCAGAGTTGACCATACTGTTACAGGAACAAATTCACAGTGAACAATCACCTTGATGTCAAAAAAAATGAGCATGCTCTTTGTTGAACTCTAGACCTGCCACACCTTTTTTGTTCTTAGTGATTTTGGGCTCTTCTACGGTGACAAGTATTGCTTTGTAAGATTTGAGGCTTTCACGGCGGTGACTATGAAGAAAGCAGTCTTCTGGGAATTGGCACCGTGTATATGTGGTGTTAACCGACGTTTCGGAGGAACGTATCGCCTCCATCTTCAGGGTAGAAGAAAAAATATAAGAAATCTGCAAGCGAAGAGACCGTGAGAACCGGTAAAAGCAGACTGTGTTGGAAATATATTCACAGCTATGTGAGAGCAGAGAAGGAAGAGTGGAAGGGCAAGTATAGAAGTGAAAACAGTAGTGTGGGAGGGGGGGGAAGGGAGCTGGAACAAGCATGGTTTTTGTGTAGGGGAGAGAAAGGCAAGGTTAAAGGCTGGG